GTGTGTGTGTGTTCGTTCGTGTGTGTGTGTTCGTGTTCGTTCACTGACCTCAACTTCTGACCCACAGGTATTGTAGCTATGCAGATGGAGGCTCTCGAGGCAGTTCACAGGGAGAGCAGGAGGTTACCTCCCATTCAGAAGGTGAGCTGCTGGGACATCAGCTATTCATACATTATTTATTAAATAGGACTATAAAGCAGGATTTCACTTATTTGAATCCTAAATTTGATCCGAAATATTAGAAATTAGCATCTAATGAAACAATCTTTCGCAAGCTAAACATCGTCAGTTTTTAAAACTGGGTGGAGAAGTGCAAGTTTAGTGTTAGTTCATGTTAAAGGAAAGATGGGCCCAAACAGCCAACATAACATCTCGTCATTTTACAGCAAACAGAAGAATTTCTATCACAAGACAGCGTTATATCTATATCATGGATAAAATTCATTCCACAGGATCTCAGAAAGTCAATAATTTTCACTTTTAGGCTTTACAAAGTCTTAATTAACGTTCATTTGACACAGTTTAAAATGAAAGTTTTTTAAAGATATTTTTGGCAGCATGCAGTACATTAATATGAGCACGCTATATAAAACTACAAACAAATTGTTATGTCCACATGCTCAGTGTCTGGTTTGCTGCTCCTGCTCCGACTGCAAATCTCATCCCGTGTTTTCCAGTCATCATCGCACTTTATATTTTCCAGTTGGTGTTTTTGGACCCTGCTGTGCTACATGTCTGCCAGCTCCTAGTAATTTCTCTTGCACATCCTTACACACACAGACAAACATCATGCCAGTACTGCCTCAGGAGCAACCTGGAGTCCATGGTGAGCAGTCCGTCTGCTGCACTTTGTGGCTAAAGTCTTTCACGGTTTACGTGTTGGACAAAGCTTCCATCCCGGGCTGCGAGCTGTGAGCTGCATGCCAAATACATACTAAAAAAACAACACTGACTGTGGAGTCACCACTGGCCAGTATAGTTGTAGTAGTAAAAGCAATAGTGATGTGAAATGGAAAAACAGGCAATGCAGTTAAGATGCAGTCCTGACGAGAAGCATCAGAAATAATGAGGTGCAGAGGGACTCTGGTGTCCATTCAAGGACGGATTCATCAAGCTCTTATTCTCCTTGGGTCAGACTTCAACTCCTCCACGTTGGCTGTGGTCTTAATGGGGAAATGCTGTGAATGATCTAATGTCCATCCTTGTTTGTGACAACGGAAGTGTTTCTCTACTGGCTGCGGAGGCCAGAAGCAGCTGTAGCAACATGGTGCACACTGGACAATTTATACAGTAGAGGAAGTTTGTCAGATGATGTTTGTTTTTTAGATGCAGTTAATTTCACTTTTTTAAAGAATAAAGGTTACACTTACTATACTCCCTTCAGTTACACACAGTTTCACAACTCTTTCAACTGAGTGGGTAGAATAAAAGTGTGAGTAAGTGCCGTTTTGAGTTTAACCTTTGAAGTGTTTTAGTTTTCTTCCATTGTTTAGTTGTTGTTTAGAGAACAGAGCAACAGGTCGGCTTCATTAGGCCCAATAGGTTCAGTCTATCCTGTCAGTCAGGGTCCATATGTTCAAACTTAAACACAAAGTGAAAACTAATGATGATGGTTCCACTCACCAGTTGGACAAACAGAACCACTTTTCTTTTACAAACAGATCATGCGTTTTGCTCAGAGGGTTGAAAACGCTTAATTGGTCTCTGCACAGAGAATGAATTCATTTTAGTTTAAATAAAATTATTAAATCCTCAGTGTGCTTGCAATTTATGTTTTTCATCATGATCTGCATGCAAAGCTTATATTTGTCCAGCGTGAATATGGTGTTGTGATTTGACATTATAATGATAAATTGATTTCCTGGCTTAAAAAAAACCAACTCATCTAATCTGACGCAAATATTTCTGCTGTGTCCTTTATTTTGAGAAGTGAACTGTCAACAACAAATGACTAATTTAAGCTCAGACGTGTTCCTGTGCAGGTTTGTATCACAGGTGTCGGTCCCTGGACATAATGTTGTGTTTTTCTTTCTTATTCCATCAGCCTAAGATTCTGCGTCCAGCTCTGTTCCCTGGGGAGGAGCTGGTGTTGGAGGGGTTGCGGGTGCTTCTGGACCCTGACGGCAGGGAGGAGGCCACTGGGGGCCTCCTGGGGGGTCCACACATCCTGCCAGCAGAGGGAGCGCTCTTTCTCACAACATATCGCATCATTTTCAAAGGAATCCCCCATGATCCACTGGGTAAATACTGAACTACATTTTATTTTTTCCAGTGCTTATATAATACATATGTTTTTACTTAAAATAAAAAATTTCTGCAGAAATACAACTTTCAGCTTATTATTGTGTGCATTAAAAACCGCAAAAACAAAAATCGGCAGTGTGTCGTGTCAGTAAGATGTTGCAGTAATGTGGTGGTGTTCTTTATTCCTGTATGTGTCCAGTGGGGGAGCAGGTGGTCATCAGGTCTTTTCCAGTGTCCTCCCTGACCAAAGAGAAGAAGATCAGCATCCAGAACCAGCTGCAGCAGAACATGCAGGAAGGTCTGCAGCTCCGCTCTGCAACATTTCAGGTAAACCCTGAAACTCACCACACACTAGATAGATTACCACGGACACAAATCACTACAGATGTGAGAGGTTTTAGTTAATGGGATGAATTTAGCTGGTGATGTAGCTAGTAGTATCATCCATGGTTCTGTTTCTCAGATATTCACACATCATAATATTCACAAGTTTATACTTTTTCTTAATGCACTGGGTTGTCAGAGGATTTACAAACACAAAATCGAAAGGCACTTGGTTGATCTCCAACAGTCTCCTTATGAAATCACTGTTTAATTCACCAGAACTTTTATTTGAATTCTCATCGAATTACACGCACTCATAAATGTCAGTCCACTTAAAGACTTTTTATCATCTAGAACCCTAAGCTGCATCAAAATGTAATGGGTTCTCCCCTGACTCATCCCACAGTTTCGTAATAATCCGTCCTGTAGTTTTTGTGTGATGCTACCTAAAACCACACAAACAAACAGACGTCGTTGATAACTCGGTGGAGGTGATTATGCACAAGCTTTTAAAAAAGCAAGAAAACTTAAAATTACAATTAACCTTAACCAGCGTGACACTTATAACCCCCGTCTCTTGTGTTTTATAACATGAGCTTGATTCTTAGAATCAAAGAAGAGGCAAGTATCCGCCAAGCATGTGTTTTTAGTCCTTAGACATGTTGCTGTAAAAGTTTTTATGATTCATTCCTTTCTCTTTACAAACACAAATTATGAAAGTGGCCATGTTTTTGGAGTGTAGGTCACTTGGCAGTTTTGTTTCCGGCTTCACTGCAGTGTGCATGCGTGCGTGGGTATGTTGTGGAAACTATGCATGAGCTGTTTTACCAATGATGTAAGACGTGAAAGATGCAGATCAGCACACTTTAGTAAATGTTTGGGGGTAAAAAGGTGAGGAACATTAGCAGTGATAAACATGAGATGCTCCTGACAGGTTGTATAGAAATTTAATCCAATATTAATATGGAATTTTTCCAGTGTTAAATAATCTGTTTTACTGATGTTTGACTTTTTAGTTAATAAAAGTGGCTTTTGATGAGGAGGTGAGCTCAGAGATGGTCGAGATCTTCAGGAAGCACCTCCAGAGGATTCGCTACCCACAATCCATCTTCAGCTCTTTCGCATTTGCTGCCGGACAAACCGCCCCTCAGCTAATCCTTCCAAAGCAGAAAGAGAGGAACACTGGCCTCAGGTTTGTTTTGCAGCGTGCAACATGAATACTGATTTCATATGAGAATCATGCTGCCAACTCATACATTTTTTCTCCTCTGGAAATGTTGAAATGTTGAGTTGCCAAAGCTGCACATATTAAAGTATGTCCACTTTTTGTTCCTTACAGAACTTTGTCCAAAACTATAGTCAAGGGAGCTAAGAGGGCTGGAAAGATCACCATGGGCCGTGGCAGCCAGAGCACGCTAAAGAAGAATGACAGAGGCAGCAGGATGACCTGGCATGAAGACGACGACATTTCAAGTGAGAGAAACCACACATGCATTCACGATGGTGTTGAGGGAGCAAATTAAACTGTTTGCGTGTGTGTTTCAGTATCGGACGATGGCGAGCCGCCACCCAGCAGCACTTTGCGGGCATCAGAGAAGTCCACCATGGAGCAGCTGGTGGAGCAGTCCTGTTTCCGAGACTACCAGCGCCTGGGCCTTGGCACCATCACCGCCAGCTCGTCTCGCTCCAAATCAGGCGAGCTGTTCAAGATCACGGCCGTGAACAGGCTCTACTCCCTCTGCCGCAGGTACGCTACCAGCCTGGAGACCTGCTGCCAGTTCATCAACTTTAGCTGCAGTGGAGCGGCTACACTAAAAATCAGCCCAGAAACTTGCTGATCTGTGCTGATTTCACTAATCACTGCACAGCGGGACTGAGAATATTCGTTTCCAGGATCTGTAGCCCTGCCAGAAGCCTTCTGAGCCTCAGTATCTCAAAAGGCCAGCGAGGGGGGGTGCTCCTCTACCTGGCAGGCAGATGTTTGACTAGTTTTGACAACTAGATTCAAATCCAGCCTGTTATACAAAAACACACATGCCGTGACTAACCTCAATCCCATGTTGGCTGCAAGCTCTGAAGGTGCTCAGCTGCATTTCTCTGTCTTGCTACATACATGTATCAACAAACCGCTTTGCAGGGTGGACATCGTTTTTTCTTGAAAACTGTTGGTGTTTGAGATTTCTGTTCCGTTGTCTCTCTGTCAGTTACCCGGGGCTGCTGGTGGTTCCTCAGGGAGTACAGGACAGCAGTTTACACAAAGTGGCGCGCTGCTACAGACACAACCGTCTGCCCGTCGTGTGCTGGAAACATCCGCGCACCAAAGCCATCCTGCTCCGCTCAGGAGGCTTCCACGGCAAGAGCGTGGTGGGGCTGTTCAAGTCACAGAACCCCTCCTCTAACGGTATGGACTTTTTCTTTTTATGAAGTTAGTGAAAAGTAATTTAATTTATCTCAGCTAGCACCCCTCAAGTGGACTTTAGGGACTTCAGACATTTTCCTGAAATTATTCACATGGGCATTATGTAAGAACCCGGACAAGTTTTCTTGCCTGCTCTCTAGTAAATTGTCCAAAAACGTCCAATTGAGCCCATGTGATGACAAAGTGAGTTGGTGGGTTGAGTGAGTCGGAACACGTGACTGATGCAAAACTGAAAAAAACAATAATAATACAAACATCTAAGGAGGAAAAAAAGATGCCATACATTCGTGGAAGACGACTAGATTCAAGAGCTTTTGGTGATAAGTCATGATGCTGTAAACAAAAACGTGATTCCACAAAGGAACTTAAGCTTTATGTTCTGCCTCCTGCATGTTCTGCTGGGGGGGGACACCTGCTGCGTTTTTCACATGTGAAAGGCAAACTCTGGAAAATGTCTGGAAACTTCATTCACATCTGACAGAAATAAACAAAACCATTGGATGCATTTTTCTGTAAAACACTGGATCTGTGATCTGCAGTTTGATTTTTGTTTAAGTGATGGTCTTTATTACCTATCTGTGTAAATAAAGCGTTGTGTTCTTCCTTTAGCTCCTGCCTCATCCTCAGATTCATCCAGTAGTCTTGAACAAGAGAAGTACCTGCAAGCCATCCTCAACTCCATCCCCATCTACTTCAAAATGAACGGGAACAACACGCTGTCCAACCGCTCCCTCATCGGCCTCTCACCAGGTAAAACTGCTCCGACACCGAGACTCTAATAATGTTCAAATTCTGGTTTTGTTTATTTGGTGAATAAAAAAACAATGTACTATCTATCAATATATAATCTACTCATAGTAAAACAGTTATTTCTGCCATTAGAATATTTTGATCTGAGGACAGAGTTTTCTAACACGTTAGTGCCCGATAGAAAACTAACCAAGCCCAACGCAACATTCAGGTTTTTGTGTTCGAACCCGACCTCAGTCTGATGTTTCCATGATTACAATTACATGCAGTGGAAGCAGTCAAGCAGATAGTCCAGCCAACATGACTGAACCCGTCCCAAACCCAAATTTCATTTCAACATTTTTGAAATGACTTCTTGAGTCCTGATGGTTCCTGACGGGCTCTAGTTCAATATCCTCACTCTATTCCGGGACCATTTGGATTTTTAGACTTTTTTGCCCAGAGTTAAGTCTCTCAGGCTGCACCCATACCTTCTCTTCTTTAACAGTTTCGTCTGACCACAAACAAAACTAGGACCATGTTTGTTTTTATTATTTATCTGCAATCAAATTGATTGAGCAATTGAGCAATTTAAAAAAATACCACACATCTTATTAGTAATTCCAACTCTGACATTGGTGATAACAGTATTTATTTACATGTCATAAACATATATATAACTTCCATGTGGTGTGAATACAGCATTAGAATGACATTAGCTTAATATATTATCCACATAACCGTGCCTGTGAGGTTTGACTCTGAGCAATTAGCTCCTTCAAAGTAAAGCACCTGACTCACGTGCTCCCACCTGACCTGAATGTGCTGCACGATGGCCTTGGTGCTGCCGTGGGAAAAAAAACTTGAGCTGTTTACAAGGGACAAGAGACCACGGAGAGTTCATCACCTCCGATAAAGAGAGAATCTGCAGACTTGCACTCTGCAGATTTATTTCTGTTCACTTGAGCTCTGTATTTTCTCTGCCATCACATCCCCTTTGTGTTTGCTCTGGTCAGCAAAGCAGAGCAAAGCCCACTTATCTTAGTGTGTGTGTGTGTGTGTGTGTGTGTGTGTGTGTGTGTGTGTGTGTGTGTGTGTGCGTGTGCGTGTCATAGACTGAGAGAGCGCCTGCTTGGGAGAAATACTGTATCTTATATTTGTTAACAATTGGGAGGAAATGTACACAATAAAAGGTTATGTAAGAATCACAGGACAGCGTGGGGTCACTGTCCAGCACATCCATCTCTTCTGACACCCCCATGAATGATTTGTCTCCAGGCAGTGAAAGGAGGACGTCCAGGATACCAAAGATGGCTCCTGTCCATTTAGACATCCCATTCTCAAACAGCTTCACCAGAGGAGGTGAGTGTTTTCAGTTTCTGTGGTTCTGCTTCCTGCTCGGCACATCGTCATGAGTCCGCCTGCTGCCAGATTAAACAGCACAGTCCACCAGTACAGTCATCAGAGTCTTTTAACATCATCCACTCAGTTGAGGGAAACATTACATTTTAATCACAATAGATTATGGAGGCTGTTGATTTTCTTGCCAGAGCTCCTGGTTTTCCAGATTTTCTACTCCTCTGATTTGTTTTTCCACATTGGTCACATATTTGCTCATTTTTCTCTTGTTGTAAAACACATTTTAGAAATATGACATTACAATATGTAAAATCACACACTTTCAGATGGAGAACAGAAGACAAAAGTATGCAACTAAATTGCAGACATCCTGAAGGGGGATTTATTTGTCAGATGGTCATGAAATATTATAACAACCAACAACAATGACATTTATTTATATAGTATCTTTCATAATGCGGCTTTACAACAATAAATGTACATAAAAGACAAGAAGCCATACAATGAACATAAAAACACTTAATTAACAGAAAGTAAGATGGAAATAAAACCCAGTAAGTAAAATTTGAAATAAAATAAGGCTGAAGAATAAGAGCGCCATATAAATGCAGAGAAAAGCAGTGCATAACATACATAACAAAAACAAATCAAATACAACCTTTTAAACATCCATTATCGTATGGTGAGAGAAAGGATACACCCTCGACAGGACATTGAATACAATGCTTAACAGTACGGTATAAGAATAGTTTAAGCACTGGAGTGAGATCTTCTGTAGATCTGTAGCTTATAGATGTACATGTATGTATAATAATCACTTTTTCAAATATTTGCTATTTGGCTGAAGTCTCCAGATCCAGCTGACAGAACAGAAATTCCCAGCCACATGAACCTTTTAAAGTGTTGCTGTCAAATGAGCATTACAGTAAATGGAATCTCCCAGATAAAAACTGAACATGTTGTTGCTGTTTCGATGAAACCATTATTATTGTGTCAGATTGAATGTGAACTTTGCAGTTTTCTTTCCCTGAGTCACAGGTGTTTTTCTGCATGTCTCAGGTGTTAGTAACTGGGTCAAAGGTCAAAGCAATTCTGAAACTGACTCAATGTTTGATTAACGCCCTAAAAAGGAAGAGATGTCACAAGAAAGTATTTGTAAGTTCAAACCACCAGACTGCAGCTCAATCCAGTAAAACCTGCTGACCTCGGAGAAAAGGATTATCTCTGGCACATTCTTTGGACTCTGGAGAAACGTCTGTGTCAGGATGTCCTAGAATTAGTCAGATTTTTCTGAGATGACATGAAATATTCAAGGGGCAGCAGCACCTTCATCTGATGAACTCTTACTAGTAAAACTGACAACTTGTACTTCAGTATTGACAAGAAGATGTTACAGATGTTCGACAGAGAGAGCATGAAGCAGACAGAGGGCGAAGTTGTTAAAGCTAAAGATTACAGATGGAATTTTAGTCTTAAATGTCAAACCAGACGAGTGCAGGTACTTCAGCCTGGGACCTGTTTGATTTAAACATGTCTCACATTCATTCATGCCAGGAATTTGGTAACTTCCCTTTGTCTTCACACCATCACTCATAATCCTGGACACACATATTCATGCATGTTGAAAAAAATCATTCTCCTCATCATATGTGGACCAGTCTGACATTTGACCCTTATCGTCTTCCTTTGCATGTCTGTCTGAAGTGGTGGTTAGCAGGTGTGGTGGTGATGTCCCTATCATGTTGACGTCATTGATCTTTTCCATGCCCCCTCCCCCCTCTCTCTCTCTACTACCTGTACAAAAACCACCACCCAGTGCTTGAGTACAGAGATAAACTATTCACTCACTCAAACCAAAAACCTGCCAGTAAGGAGAGAATCCCTCAGCAAGGTACGGTCAAACTGTCTCTTTGGTCTGCTGCTCCTCTCACAACGCTGCTTCGCTCTCTAACTCATTCTCCACACATCAGCCGCTGTTTTTTCCTCTCGCTAACCTACATGCGCTCACTAACCAAATAACGACCACGCTGCACCATGCTGCAAACCCTTTACAAATCCCTTGAGTGACGCAGTACTAATCATGGCTGACTCTGTGGGCGCTCCACTGGGAGCTGTGGTTTTTCACAAACCAAAGTGGCTTCTCTGATGTGGCCTCTTCCATTGTTGATGTGTTGGCACAGCCGGGCTGTGGTCAGTTAAGAGCCAGGTCCAGACTTAACTAAGCTGTTTGTCATGGCAGACAAGTCATGAATCACACACTCACACACACATAGACACACAGACACAGCGTGGCCCCTCTAGTCGTCTTTAGTGTTATGAAAACAGCTTGAGTATTCTGAAAATGTGACCCCAAAGGATTGGTTTGAAAAGTTTGTGGTAAGATGTGATGACAGAACTCATTCTAGTCTTATTATCAGGTAAACACATTGTTATCTTCACCAAGCAATTTGTGTTTTCATCTGTGTTTCATTTGTTTGTTAGTTTGCACGATTAAATAGAAACTACTGGGCAGATTACCACAAAACTTGGTGGAAGGATGCACTATGGGTCAGGAAAGAGCGAATCCAAATTTGGTGTTAATCCTGATCAGGAGTTGGATCTTTCTTGAACATTTTTCAACATTGTCATTGATTTCTCAGATAATAATTGTTGTATCTTGAGGGGAAAAATCAGGCATGTATAGGGGCCTCATAATATATCATTTAAAAATAAATTAAGAACCTGGCCTCAGTCATTGGTCAGTATTACCTCAACTAAGGAAGTTGTTTGTTTGTAAGCAAGATTACACAACGGATTTACACAAATCCTACACTTTGTGGTAGGATGGGACATGGAAGAACCCTTTAATTAAATTGTCCAGGGTGCTTTTCAACATTTTCATTGATTTCTTGGGTGTGTGTGAAATCTGGTGCTGATCTACATAGAAATCTAGATCAAGTGAATGTTGTTTCATCGTGGGTTCTGTTGGGGCTTGGTGGATGTATACACTGTACTGAGAGCCATTTTACTTATTTCAGTTATGGTAATGCTATAAAAATTGGGCGACCCGGACAAAGTGTTTCTCTGAGCTAAATATTTGAATATTATAGTTTTCATAACCCCGAGTTTTTGCTCTAAAAGAATTTCAAGTTATCTCCGACTTGTATTTGAGTCCATTCAGTCAGCGGCTGTTATATAACCGGCCTCTTTGCAGAAGCCGCCATAAGTAGCAGTTTGACAACCATACAAATTCAACAAAGCCTGAATGTGATTACTGTGAAGAATCATGTCCTTCATGCTCATGATAGTGATTCATGCTGTTCGAAAGTACTGCATGCTGAGTTTCAGAGAAATGGTTTCTAGATTTGTCGAATTACTAAGAAATTCCAACAACTTCTGCTTCTAACATCTCTCTAACATCTCAACACTCCCGAGGCACACAGGCGACCGCTTTGTTGGTGGACTGAGAGAATGACGGTGTTTATATAATTGCTGTTGTATTGCCGTGCATGTAAATGTAGTCCGCATGTTAGGTGTTGTTCATTACTCAGTTTTAGTTTGTTTGACAGCATGTGTACATCAGTGGCATTTGAACAGGTCAGACCCCACATGTGTGCGTGTGTGCATGCGTGTGTGCGTGTGGGTGACTTTGCATCTGTGTGTTTGCAGGCATGTGGGCCAGCCTGCGCTCCAGCAGCAGACTCATCCAGCATCCGTCGGCCGCAGACGTGGGCAGCCGACTAGCAGGGAAGGATCTGGCGCCCCCCGCAGGGAGCAGCAGTCTGCAGGCTCAGCTTCTCAAGCAGCAAGCGGCCCTCTACATCTTCGGAGAGAAGTCACATCTGAGGGTGAGCATGAAAAAAAAAGCTGCTCTCGGGTGCCTCCGAGGACACTTTGTCCTTAATTGTTGTATTTCTACCCTAAGGAGAGATACAATCGATTTCAATCAAACCCACTGTTCTGCTATGAAGTCACACGGTCATGGGGGTGTTGATTCAGTTGTTATTTTGCATGGCTGTCTGAGTTGATGATTATTGCACTCGACTCCGTCATGTAGGAAAAGCGAAGTAACTGTGATCTCAGTAATAAAAGTGTAAGTGAGTGTGTGTGTCGACAGAAACTAACTCCCAACATTGTACAATTCAAATTCATGGCAGAGGTGTTCAGATTGTTCAGATGAATCTTAGAGTGGTTGTAAAATGTGGAAAACAATCATCTCAGTATGTTTGAGGCTTTACTTTAGAAACTACATCCACACTTGTACCAAACGCAGCTAAGACAACACTTTTATTACAAGCTCATACACTTGTATGTGGAAGACGATGTCAGTGCTCATTGTCCAGGAAAGGATGAAAATTCAAATCAGGTTTGTTTCATTAATCCAACTACTGTAAGAGAAAATCAACTCATGAAGTTAAGTTATATATTTGAATAATAGCACATCAACAGCCGTAAGGTCGTTTTTAAATAGAGTCAGACTGATTTACCAGTGGAATCTTTCAAAGACACATCTGTATCGCAAACATAAACCCTGATGTCTTTGAAAGACTCATTATCAGGCTGACACTATTTAAAAACTGTGCTACTGTATGGCTGTTGATGTGTTATCATTCAAATATATGATGTAACTTCATAAAAACTTATTTCACAGCATAAACAATGCAGACTTGTAAAACATATATATGTGTGTGTGTGTGTTATGTTACTTTTTTATTAAGAAAATATGTTCATTATCTTGATTCGAGTTCTAGTATCGAGTATCATAACGTTTATGGTTAAACTGTAAAATATCAACCTTCAATTACATTTCTTTGTTGTAACGGTTCGATAACGACCTCTTAGGAATCCTTGCCTTTTCTTTCAACATATTGGCCAATATAGTTTTGGTCTATTTTAAACTCCCACTGATCACAGCCTTCTTCATCTCATTCTGTAAAGACTTGAAAGAATACCAGTTATAACTGAGTCAGTGAGTGATCACTGAGTATGTCACAGATTCCCAAAAAACACTGAAGACACTTTACAGTTACACATTAATTGTTTGTGTAAGTGTTTTATCGAATATAAACTTGTTCCTTGTCAGTCATTATGTTCCACGCAACACAAGGGTGCTGTTATTCAACCTTTGATCAAAAATGACGTTTGTTATTCCCAAACTGTCAACTGTGAACTACTCATTTTATTTTGTCATGTCTAAAGGTCCTTAACAAGCCTTTAAAACCCAGTCCTTTGATTTCATTCTTTGGTGTTGTGGAAAATGAGGATGCTGTGGGCCTTTAAGTGTTGGTGTCTTCTTTAATGTCTTGTAAACATTGTGACAGCATTGGAAAACCTTGTCACTTTTTGCATTTTTACAATAAAAAAAAAACTCAGAAGCTGTTTTCGGTCAGATGAGGAAGATTTGCTGTTTGTTCTGTCCCTGTTCTTTCTCTCTTCTCTTTATAAAAAAGTGTCGTTAAGAATGTTTTCAAATGTAGTTATTTTTATATTTGCCCGACCAGTAAATTAAACTTGATCTGTGTAGCATTGACACAGCGTAAGTGATGAAAGGTTTAAAGGCTTCTAAATAAGTGACGTAAGAGAGAAAAACTAAAATTACAGCCCTGTGGTTGTCTGCCTCTGCCAAGTGGAAAATGATCTGTAAATCTCTGTGCAGAGTCATATAATATATGTTGAAAAGGAATTTAATAAAAGAGCTGAAAAGTGTATTTTGTCACAGTAAGTCTATGGATTGTTGAGTTATGGCCTTTGAAGTTTGACCACCAAAATAAATGAGCTAAATTGTGCAAAATTTGAAGAGATTTTTTGTTCACAGATTGGGATGAACAGTCAGACATCCAGAGTTCCTCTAACCACGGTTGTCACCGGTGCAGAGACATTCATGCAGTGGATGTGAAAAATTCAGAAAGGCTTTTTCATTTATTTAACAGTGAATGGTTCTGTAAATACTTCTCCATGTGTGTGAATGAGTAGCAACACCTTTACAGTGTAGCAACGAGGGTTAACACATAAAACTATAAGAGTACTTCAGCTGAAAGTCAACTTTCTAAGTAACTGGTAGTATTTAATCAATCTATGTCTCTGTTTCGACAGGGCCTCAGAGTGGACTCCTCTCTGAACTGTGAGCTGGTGCCGGTGGAGTTTGCGGACACGCGGCAGGTGAAAGCCGCGTTGAAAAAGCTGCTGAGGGCCTGCGCTCCCAGTGCCACGTCGTCGGACTCTGAGGACTCCTTCCTTAAAGCCCTGGAGGACTCTGAATGGATCCTGCAGGTGACAAAACATACAAGACATGCAACACGATTCTGCACTTTTTACCCCAACACAGTGAGTCCAAGTCAGATTTTTTAAAATGTGTGAGAACGACCCGGCAGTCCACTCTTCCTGCTCATCCTCCACATCAGTGTCACATAATGAATAAATCCACTCTGAAGACAGTTTCCCGAGAGAAGCAGATTCACAACGATGGGATAACAGCAGAGCTCTTATCATGCTGCTTATCTGATCGACCCTCTGCAGCCTTTGTCCTTACGTTGAACATATCATAAGCTGCCGAAAGATATTAGCTGTGGGAAACCCTTAGTAGGCAACTCTGCAAATAATTGTGCATGCGTGCGTGCATGTGTGTATGTGTTCACATATGTTGATCTCCCACAGATTCACAAGATCCTGCAGCTGGCACTGTTTCTGGTGGAGCTACTGGACAGCGGCTCATCCATTCTGCTCAGCCTGGAGGATGGCTGGGACATTACTACACAAGTGAGAAAGAGGCACACTTTAGAGATAAACACACAGATGTGAGGAAGAGGTTGAGAAGTTTGTCTTTTCAGTATATACGTTTCTATCATGCTGTTTTCCTTCAGAATTTCTTTTTCTGCATGAACAACACAAATATTATAAAATACCTTAGAGAGGTGTAAATGCAAACATAACACAAATTAGGTATGTTTATGAAAAGGGTTGTAGACTCGAGTGTGGATACCCAAACCCACCTGGACCCGTCAGGACCTGATGAGTAGAGCCAGGTTGGGACAGAAATCTTGAAATGAACATTCATACTGTTCACCCTCTGACCATTAAAAGCCTACACTGCACCTGAAGGCCCACAAACCGAGGACCTGGTGCAGGTCCAGATGGGGGTCCTCGTAACATTTCTCTCCCCTCTTTACTATCATAGCAGTTGATAAAAACACCACATGGAGGTTGTGATCAAAAGAAATGCATTAATTCATTACAGTAAAGTACCGTCATTAGTGGGGAGCAGCAATGAAATGAAGCAATGTATCTCAGTTACTGGCGTTCGGTGTAATTACACAGTTCCGTCCTCGTCTTCTTGAAAGTTCACAGATTCACTCATGCATGCACCAAAGTACAAAAATAACCTTGAAAGATTTTGTATGATCTGCCGATGGCTACAAACTCTGCTGTGTGACTAAAGATGAATTGCTGACTGCTCATGAAACATTTGTCTACGTAATGAATAACATATAACAGTTGTTGTTGGGTTTTTTTTACTGTTTTTCATGTTAAAACCAACAAAACACTACCCTTCCCAATTAAAGATATAAACAGGATCCAGATGCAGTCACACAACAGTTTAACAAGCAAGTACCTGATAAACAGAGCTTTACTTAGACAGCTGTTTAAATGACTGTGTGTCATTTTGACATTCATTATCCCATTGTCATATATTGAGACTTAGAGCAGAAACACGAAGCCTATAATGGTTTAAATTTGATGTTTGAATTCGACGACAGAGTTTATTAGAGATCCTCCTCAGACGGCACCTCTGCATGAGCCATGTGTGAATCATAAATCTGGCCACACCTGCCTCTCCCGCTCATCTTCTAATCGCTCGTGTCACTGTTGACACGATGGTGCTGGAGATAGATAATGAAAAGGTCCGAGGTCTTGGAGCCATATGTCACTGATTTGTGCCGAATTTAATCAGGAACGTTCACGGCTCTGATTTTGAGGCATGTAAACAAAACAGTCATTGTCGATCCTGATCAATTTCCAGTATCTGTTTGGTGCCGCACTCAGCATTTCATCACATATTTGCTCGCTGAGCTCATATTTTCCATGTTGACCTGTTAACGCGCACATGTTTGTGTTGCAAGTGCTCGACCTTCGAATGAGTTTGCGGTGGGCTTGTGAAGCCCTGGGCTGCTGTTTAAGAGTGGGCTTTGTGGACCCCTTATGCCAGGCACGTGTTCGGCCCAGAGCATCTCTCTCTCCACGGGCCACTGGCTCCATCACACCATGTCCTGATCGGTCGGCACAGGCAAATGGGCTCCATATGCTCTGGCTCTCCTGCATCTGTCCACGGACCATAGACACCCAGCAGACAGGATGCAGAACCGCCTTTGCTTTCTCTCTAAACCTTGCGCTCTGTTTCTCCTCCTAATCCTCTGTCTAACCCTCGTTCTCATATCCACTCCGCTCTCTCATGCCTTTCTTCTTTTCTTAAATCCACTGTAGTCCCACAATAATCTCAGGGTCTTATTTGAGTGCCAGGGCACAGGGGGCTCTCTCTACCACTCGGGGCCTGATGGTCTTGTAAACCCCTCGGGGGAAGCCACAGACTGTTTTTCCCTCTCATTCCACACGCGTCAGGGCTCATTAGTTAGTGTTGGAGGAGACAGGGGCAGGGAAGCAGGCCAAGCACATTGCATGTGTAGACAAGTGGTTCTCAAATGGTGTTTTGTGGAGCGAGTACAAGTGTGACTTTGCTACAATGTTATATAAATGTTATTGATAACAGATGATCAGTTAAACATATGTTGTCAGGAGGCAAAAAAATAATGTTGACACTGGTGATAAAATGATTAAAT